GGGGGGGGTTGGATATTAACATGTTCTTGTGCACAGTAGAATTGTAAATGGGCTGATTTGTCAATGTCATGCTCATCATACTGTGCCGGAACAACATAGGGGGAATTGCTGCTTTTTCTTTCCTCATCCTTAATATCGTCATTTTCCTCTACTTCTTTTGTATGTTTGTCCCTTGATAGTCGAAGCAGACGTTGTGCTGTTGAGGCTAGAGAGGTGAGCAGAGTAAGCCTGATTCCCCGTTTGGACTTCGCTGTTGATAGCCACCCCTTGGCGCTCATACGACCTTATGCAGTTGCGAGCGCCGTAAAACCTTACTAAAACAAACCACCCCTTGGCGTCCATATGACCTTATGCAATTGCGAAGTCCGTAAAACCTTACTGAAACTTTTTTTAAAACCCACTCTGTGTCCGAGATATCAAGTAGGCATTGGTTCACAGTCTCTCTCCGAGTGTCCAAGGCCATAGTCCTACCCGTCATCCGTCTGAGCGGCAGATAGAGAACTCTTACTGCTGTCTTTCAGCCACACTCCTGATCTTCTGGTAGGATAGATCTACTCGGACAAGGGCAAAAAAATCTCGGACGTCCTGTGTGCTGGTTGTACACGTTACAGATCTCTCGGTGGTCTAAAATCGATAAGAGTAGGCTTCGGCCGCCACCCGGGTAAAATTCAAAATTTCCTACCGACTGAAAATATTTAATGTGACCCGCGCGCTCAAATGACCTTATGCAGTTGCGAGCGCAGTAAAAAACACAAACACAAACAAACAAACACACACATACACACAAACACAAAAGAAGACAGAGAATTCTTGAAGCGTAGGGATACTTAAACAAGCGACTACAGATGAGTTGCTGTCGTCGGGGAGGAGTGAAAAATAGCTCAACTCATCCGAAGTTCAACGTAACCGTTTGGAACTGTGTAAAGAAAAGGAGGTGATGGGACCCGAGAAAAAGATCAATTTAATTAATCGGAGATCAACTCAAGCGAGTTCAACGCAAAATTAATGGAGTCGGTTGTACATGATGTGATTGAAACACACCACTAACATTTTTTACTTTGAGTTTTTGTTTTGTTTTGTTTTATTTTTACTGTAAGGTACCTCTGTTGTTTATGAACACGTCCCTATCGTATTTAAAATTTATTATTATTGTTGGGGGTTTTTTCTTTTTAAACCGAGTGGGCTCGATGACTCCTATTGTATCGGTGGACTTTTTTTTCTCTTTTTAGCCCATGTAGTAAGAGACTTTGCACTCGTATGTCCTACTTCTTTTCTTTCCCTTTGTTTTGTTTTTTTGTCCCTGTTATTTGGTCGCTTTTAAGGACAAGTGGGACAACGGGGGTTTCCAGAAATCTTGACCTACACCAAAAGTTTGCATGGTCCTACCTATAGCAGAAGTTTGGTTTCAATTGTGTGTTTATTATTTTTTGGTTTGGTTATAGAGAAAACTCTCCTTGTGTTGTATAGAAACTGAACAAGGGGCAAAAACTTTACCTTCGGTTTTCTCAAAACAGCATTTTTCGGAATAGCCCCCTTGTGCTTAAAAGCGACCATTTATTAATTGTGTATGTCTTGCCTTTTCCCTGCTCTAAATGACCGTGGCTGTGTCGATATACTTGTCCTTACTAAAGCTCAAGGATTTTTCTTAGTCCAAAAGGGTACCAAGTGGGTGGTTGGCGGGTGCTCTGGTGTGGTTTGCTTCTTCTTTCCCGTCAAACATCTATCGTCCTTATCTCCCCTTCTTCTTTTTTATGTTTGTTACTCTCTTGTAACACCTTTAATCTTCTGGCGCTCATATTATGACCTTATGCAGTTGCGAGCGCCGTAAAACCTCTACTAAAACTAAAGAACTAAAAGAGTACCAAAGCTTTGTGGTGCCGTAGTTCTCTAGAGATACCAACCATGTCACGTGACTGATACAATGACTTGCAGTGCGTGATGCAGGAATTCGGACAAAGGTACTTGATGGTTGTTTAAATAGACAACAAACTTAAAATAGCCACAAAAAAACCAACCCTCCCTCACAAATGCCC